ACCAAGTCATTTCAACGGAGTTTTCTGCTTGAAACCAACTGCCTGGAGAATCGTGTAAAATGGCCAAATAGAAGCGCTGAAAGATAACTTCTCTAACTTTACTTAAATAAAGCCTTGCTTTGGACCCATTGGAAAGACTGTTGATGATATAATACAAGGATTCAAGTGTTTAATTGGACCAGAGATCAACAAAATTGACTAATTTACTCCTCCAACTATTTTTAGACAAGAAAATTTCGATAGAGCTTTGAAAGGAAAAATCAGAGTGGGATATTGTTTTAGTCTACCTACTATTGAAGCTAGTCTTTCAATGTAAAGAGGTGTCAGACTTGCCAAACAAGCTCTTGAATCAAAAGGATTCGAATTAGTTCCGTTTAATTACACAGTTGAAGAACTAATGGAAGCTAAGGAAATTTTTCTTGGATTAATCCCTCATGCTTTTACTTTGAAAATTTATGAGAGGATGATTGAAAATTATGAGAGACCTCTTGCTAACTCAACTAAGGGTTACTATTTTTTCCATTTAAATCCAATTATTAAGTTTGTGCTCTTGAAAATATTAGAGCAGATGGGTGAAAAGAGATTTGTAGAATAAGTGAAGCATTTTAAACCTTTAAACTAAGATCAGCTTGATTAGCTAATGATAAGACAAAGAACTTTCTATGAGAAAATGCATAAAAAGTGGAATAATCTTGGAATTGAGGCTTTGATTATGCCTACTCATCCAATTTCCGCATTTAAACATGCTAATAATGCAGAAGTTGGGGGCTTAAATGATTATCTGATTACTTTCTCCATTATTCATTACCCTATCGGGGTTATACCAGTAACAGAAGTACAAGAGGGTGAGGATTTGATATATGATGATGGAGTGAATGATATGATTACAAAGAATATTAAAAAAGATATGAAGGGAACTGTAGGATTGCCAGTAACTATCTAAGTAATTGGGCAATTATGGGAGGATGAAACTGTCCTTGGAGTCATGAAAGCTATTGATGAAACTATTAAATTTAGAAAAAACCCTCAAAATCTTTGATCGATATACAATTATAACTAATTTACCAATTAATATTTTCTCTGAGCAAATTAAATATAATCTAAATAATAAGGGGTTTTGGGGTTTTGGGG